AAGATCAACAATATGCTACAAACAACATGACAAAGGCTGACATGCATAAAAGGGCTTGGACCCCGGTCATAACTGCTTTGCAGTTCTAGTTTTTAATTGGGGGTGTATGTGTTCTGTTAAGTACTTTGAGTTACACTTGCATCTTAAAATACGTATACTATAATACACAGTATATAAATATACAGTAAATAAATAGGATTTTGAGTTGAAGGGATCTAATGAAAATAAATCTTTGAAGACAATAATTTTCTCCAGAGGATTAAAATTACATTACATTAAATGTTACAATGTTACCTAATTTCCCTCTGGGATCAATAAAGTATTTTTGAATTGAATTGAATTGCCTTACTTGTAAGATGCGTGAAGCTTTGTGCTTGTAGTCTTGTAACTCCTGCTTGGCAGAGTCAGCAGCAGCTTTAGCACTTTTCAGCTGCTGCTGAAAGTCATCGGCTCTGAGCTTCTCATCCAACACTCGTCGCTCCGCTGCAGTCAACGTCTCTGCGAGGGTCTGCCTTTCAGCTTCTAATTTGGCCAGGCGGCCAGCAAACTCATTCTGCTCAATGACAGAGAACTCATGAGTCCCTCTAAACATGTTCAGCACTGATTTGTCACAAATACAGACACAATCACTGGGCACCTGCATCTGCCGGTAGCTGTCTTGTTCCCTTCGTACAGACAGTTCTGCCTCTTGTAGCCTCTCCTGTATTCTTTCAAGAACCTGAGTCTGCATGCTGCTCCCTTCTGTGTGGTCCTGCATAATTCTACAAAAAAAAAGGAAATTTATTTGGATCAAACCAAAAATCTATGCAGAAATTTTGAGGAGAGCACAGTCATGTTAAACTTTGTAATGATCTAAGTTCAGTAAAAATGTCAACATTTTGATTTAAAAGAACCGTAAAGAAAAAAAAATGGGGTTGGGGTGGGGATATAAAACAAACAGATCAGTAAAAAAGCTGCTTCAGTGTTTATGGATTGGCAGCCTTAATAATAATAATAATAAACTTAAGCTGATTTTAATTTCAGAAGATTGTGACAAGTGTACCTTGATTTTTCCTGCTGGACCTCTTCTAACGCAGCACTGCGGGATTTCAGAAGCTGATCAGCTTCATCAAGTCGGATTTTTAAAACTGCAAGTTGACCATCTTTGGCAGAAAGGGCTTCTGTGAGGTCATCCACGTGGGACCGAAGTTCTCGTAAGGTGTGGTTCGTTTGAGACTGCTCCGAGTTCCATCTGTCTGCACGCAAACGGGCCTGGTTCAGTTCTGAAACAAATAAAACATTTTTATAACGGACCAAAAACTGAGGAAATATAAAGACTTGTTGTGCTCTGTTTTACCATCCTGTAAATCTTTAGCTCTCTGAATAACGGAGGCCATCTCCTGGTTGAGGGAAGCCACCTCACTGCGCAGCAGCTGGTTCTCCAGACGCAGGCTGGACACCATCTGGTTCTGTGGTCCCTCGGGTGCATGAGGGGGCTCCTGCCGGCTGGACTCCTGAGGGGGGGCCGAGCCTGAGTCTGAACTCTCAGACGTGTCTGAGGTGATCAAAAACACAAAACAACACTTAGAAATCAGTTGTACAACAAAGCGGGGCAAAGTTCTGTTCAGAGAATTTTTACTGTTTAAAACGGTGGGAAAGTTTTACTCTCACCATTCGATTCGATTCTAAACTGATTTTTTATTAAAATCTAATAATGTGAGCCCATTTGTTGTGTTCCCAAGTGCTTCATCTTCATTCTGCAAACCTTTTACAAAGTGAAGCCCATCTCAAACTCAAACTTATTCAGTAAAAAAATGAAGACAGTGTGAGCTGAATGTCTCTCCTCCAGTTCTGTAGTTTCCTCCTTGTTTTGGTACTTTCTGTTCATGCACACCTTCCAGAACCAGCTGCAAGGTGACATCAGGACGGCTCACGTACWTATTAAATGGAGGCTGACAGCCGTTGGATTTACTTGATTATTTTATTTTTAAAAACCTATTTTAGGACGTTTGAAATTGTTTCTGAATCTTTGTAAATGAGAATCACTCAAAGCTTTTCCTCTTTATTATAAGGTGACGAAAATTAATCATCCACCTGACACGATGCATTTTAACAGCCCCTCACAAAAGTTAGATATTTTTCTATGTTTTCAAGAAGTAGCAAGTCATAACTGTAGTAAAATTCTGCCTCTTGAGCCAAATAATGTTTGTTTCACTCAAGAAGAACCCGTCCAGAGGACCTATACAATTTTTTTCCTTTGATTTTTTTACCTGGATTACTGAGATGCATCAGGAC